GGACTGCTTGTCTATACTAAGCAATGTACATTCTTAGTTTACATTTGTGATTTTGAATATGCGTAAAAGATGCCAAAAGATTCATGATATAGTCATTTGCGCTTTGGCAAAAACATGAGTTCTGAATGCCAGAAGCTGAGGCAGGGGGCTGGGAGTGAATCAGTTACCTGGGGAGTGAGCCAAACAGACTCTTTAGAGTTTCAATGCAGCTTTGTTTTCTACTCAAAATCATATACAGTATAATTCTTGTGAAGTGATTTTTTAAAACTTCTTTTGAAAAATTACTCCGTTAAGAAAACCTCATGCAAGTTCTGGTGATGAAAGTGGAGAAATCTAAATAGTTTGCAATAAAATGGTAATATTGGCCACAATACATAGTCTGTGCCTCTACACACGTGTGTGAAATCTGAAGAATTGCAAGTATTAGTGTTGCTGGTTAATTTTTTCTACTTTACAGAACTTGAATCTTCAAATTCCAAGTCCCTTCACTAAACAAATCATATCTTCTTATCATATCCCCACAGTTTCTAACAACTGGTGCCATGCTGCATCTAAGAGCTACTCTGTAAATAGTTGGTGACTTGATTTGTTTGGTATTTACTTCTTTTCTACATTTAGGCATTTTTCTGACTTTCAAATTCATTGCCTACTGCAGAGGGACAGTAAGCTCAAAATTATTGTTTCCTTATAGCCTGGAAATACTTAGCAATGTAGAGTTCATGACAGTGGAATGTCTATTATAAAAAGATTTGCATGATCTCATGATCATGATGCAATTCTTTGAAATGTGACTTACCGTCTTAGTAACATCAAAGAAATAAAACTGAACAGAGGTGTTAGATATATTTCCTCTGCTGTCAGGTAAAGATCAAGTTAGAAATCCCAGAGAAATATGTCTCAGTGTTCCATAAATGGCCTATTCTCAGATGTTTATATTATGGATTAGGATGTCCACTGAGTTTATTAAAGGCCATTTTTACTTAGGAATTATGAAATTTAGTTACAAAAATTGATAATACTGGGGACCACTTTAGGAAGACAACCAAACAAACCACGTTATATAAAGACAAAAGGCTGAGATTACAGGCCTTCCCTTTGGCCTTTGAAAAAGGAGGGTCTTCTAAGAGTTGTTTACTTACCTTGATTGTGTGCTTATTCTGTGCTGGGGCTATGCACTTATTATTTCATTTAATAATCCTCCCATGAAGGATCCTTTAAAAGAAAGTACTATGTGTTACTTATTACTGTACTGCTGTTGAAGGTAAGGTTTAGAGAAGTTAAATAACTTGTCCAGATACTAGTGACAGAGCTGAATCAACGCTATGTAATAGAACCGTCTACAGTGATGGAAATGTTCTGTATCTGCAGCATCCAGTCTGGCAGCCACTAGCCCCAGGGGGCTACTTGAGCATTTGAAATATGACTAGTTCAACTAAAGAACTGAATTTTTATTTTATTTTATTTTAATTAAAATAGCCCCATGGGCGTAGTAGCTACTATATTGGATAGCACAGCTCTAGAGCCTTCGTAAAATGCTCTTAGTCACTACACCATACCTCTCCAATTCAGCCTTCAAACCAAATCACATAATTGGAAAAAACAGTAAGAAAGTATTAATACCATAATTAGACAGAGCCAGAGTATTAAAAACATTTGATTAGCAAGGGATAGAGATATTATCTCCGTCCCATAGAAGCCTAAGAGACGTGCCCTCTTACACCCAGCTAAGGGGCAGTGACATAGCAGTAGACTTTTGTCTAAGATCCTTAATTTTAATGCCCTTTTTTCTGGTAAGTTATCTTCATTTCTGTTGTACCATCTGTCTCCCTTCATCTCCTTAGTCCTTACACTCACTGATGCGTTAGGGTAAACGTAAGAAAAAATGTCCATTCTTTTGCGAGTGGTTTGACCAACATTCCAAATGTCTTCTGATCCTGGCTTTATAATCAGCTACTTGTATGTCCTTGGTTGATCACTTTGAGCCATTTTGAGCCTCAAATTTCCTCATCTGCAGAATAAAGGAGTTGAATTAAATGACTGCATAGGTTCCTTCTAGATGTAAAAATTCTGTATATAATGGTTCTCATACCTAGAGAACCTATACCTAGGGTATAGAACCATACCTAGGGTTCTGTAGTTGGATGGATATGCAGCAAATTCTTTTTTCAAGTAAATTCTTGCATTATTAAAATTGCATGTGCGAGGTCCTACATTTCTTAAAAACAAGGCAAAACAAGAAATGCTAGAAAGCTGTGTAGCTCTTCAAGTCTGAGTAGCTCTGTTCCTACCTCTTCCATGTTCCTTTTGTGAATGGATGGCTTCACTTTTCCATAGTCTACAAATCAGACGCCTGCACTTCTTTTGATCCTTCATTTGGAGCAGTGGGAGTGATTGCTATACCCAGAAATCTCAGTGAATTGTCACATTGAAATAATATGTTTATTCAACGTATGCTAGCAGTCAAAGCCTTGAAAGCAAATCAAGAAGTTTGAAACACTGTTTTATAGAAGCATAGTTGTTTTGTTAATGCATATGTATATAAACAATTTTGATGTTTTACCTTTATGCTCATTTTGAAAAATATTCTGTTAAGTTCTGCTAGTTCATTGAAAATAGTGAAAGAAATTCAAGTTTACACATGTTTGAAGTGTTGTGTATATCAGTGTTTTAAATCTGTAAGTTCATCACATGCTGATTTGTATAATGTATCCATCTCTTGTCTGAAGTGTACCGATGGTCTTCAGCCTGCGATGTGTGTTAGATCGCCTGTAAGGCTTTTAAGAAATATGTTTAGGTCTCACCTCAGACCTACTGAATCAGTCTTAAGGAAAGAGAACTTGAACACAATGCTGAAATGCTTTCCATATTTTCACTATTAAAGTTCTTGTCAAGAGAAGAAATGGTCTCTTTATTAATTGAGCTTATACCAACATCAAAGCTAGCCTGTAATAACTTAGTGATGTTAGTATTATAAATTCTGTTGTTTTTTCAAAATTTAACATTGATTAGCATTTATATTTGGATGATGGCAATTGATCACTCAAAAAACACTCAACTAACTCATGTTTAGTCATTATTGAGAATTTAATATAAAGTATAAGAAATGTGATACAAAATATAGCAGCCCCAAGAAAAAAGTTACTTACCTCATTTTCTTCTTGTTCTTGGAAGAGTTTGGGCTTATACAAATCAGTGTTCTAATCCTCCCTCCTTCTTAGATCACTAATACTCATAAATCATTTGTCAGTATTTTGACAGTATACAAACTTCATTTTCTTGAGAAATGTTTTCAATCTTCAAGTTGTTATTCATCAAAGTCAACGTTATTTATTTTTGCTTATGTTACATTTTCCCTAGAGTTTTAAATAGTTTCTAATTTTCATTTATTTGCATATATAAGCAACATATTACTCAATACATTTTTATATTAATGATCTTAAATGTAAAGTTGAGTATATTCTACCAGATTTTCCAAGTGCCAGTATTATTCATAGTGCACAGTATATACCTTCTAGATAATACATATTTTGCTTCTATTATCATTATTGACAATTACCCTCCAAGAACATTTTTTAGGGCCCATATTTGTATGGCATTGACAATGTGATGGGCTGGGAGGATTTAGGTAGAGATATATATTAGTCAAGGCACTGATAACTTTTGAAACTGATAAACCTCAGTCAACATGAGCGTTCTTACTTGAGTGACTTTGCATGTGTATATTTTACTCTTCTTCCATGTAAGTCCTTGGTGCCCGTGGATAGAGAAAGAAAGAATGGGAACTACATACCTGCTCTTAGCCACTTTAACCTGTAGGTGACATGGTTCATTCCATCATAAGACCGCACGTATCTGGGAGAGAGGCTGGGAAATGATGTCTAGCTATATTCCCAGGAGAAAAAGAAAGAAGTTTTTGTTGAGCAATTAGTGGTCACTACGACAGCTCTATTTCTGCCATTAACAAACTGTATGGCTTCTGGCAAGGCACTTGATCTCCTTGACTTCAGTTTCCTTTATTTTAAAAGATCCAATGAGGTTTTTCTTTTTTGATAAGGTTATTAGCTATTTATATTAAGAAAATTCTCTTAAGATATAGTGAAGCTTGATTCAACAAAACATCAGAATCACAATATCCTTAAAGTAAATCTGACAAGAAATGAGAACTAAGTTGTGGCACAGTTGGTGGTTTTGTAGTTAATTACATAACTAAGGGATATTGATTACATAACTAAGGGATCACTTGATTCAAGTGATCTTGGAGAAGAGATCTTGGGAGGAGTGGATGTAGGATTTCATTCTTAGTCCCAATTTTTTAATTTTTTCACCATTTCTATCAGTATATCATAATGAAAACAGAACTCATACTCTTCAAGTTATAACTTGGAAATTTCAGACAGTTTTTAGATACCTAGATTAGGCCATCAAATTCTTTTAACCTGTGATCTGAGTTATAGGTTACTCCGGCTTTTGAAGACTAGCAAGAGAAGCAAATGAATTATTTATAATACTGTTTTTATGATAATATATTTTGTATTCTATATAGTTATTTTATAAATCAACTGTGAAACATAACCCATTTTTAAGTAAAGGATGGCTTGGATTTAAATCTCCAAGATAGTTTAATTGCCTTCCTACCCTTCAAAAAATGATCTCTTAAACCCTTAAATATAATGTTAGGAGCTATAGCTATCAATGTGAATATATTTTGGCTCTTTTTCAGCCGAGGTGTTGTACTGACCAGAGGAGAGACCTCAAGCACGGACAAAGAATATGTGTAGCTATTAACTAGAAGATGTCACAATCACTCACAATGTTTGCAAGACACGCATATGCTTTGAGCCATTACCAATTTTAAAAGGCAAAAATGATGAATGATTACATTAGTACTGGCTGGTAGCATCACTTCTATTACATTTAAAGGCTCTAAAAGGACTTGATAGGAAAGAAAGATACTTTTAGCGTGATAGTGACATTTCAAAACGTGTTCTCTTTCTTTTCAGGACCTCCAATAGTAGTCAGACATTATCATCCTGCCATACTATGGAGCCATGTTCATCAGATGAATTCTTCCAAGCCCTTAATCATGCTGAGCAAACATTCAAAAAAATGGAAAACTATTTGAGACACAAACAGTTATGTGATGTAATTCTGGTTGCTGGTGATCGCAGAATTCCGGCTCATAGGTAATTGTTTTCTAAACTTCTTTATGTGTGAACTATTTTCTTGATAATTTGATTATGTACGTTAAGGTAACTTGTTCTAATTGATTATTCCATGGAGTAGTTTGGTGATGGTTTAAATTTCATGGAATTTCTGCAAAGAAAACAGTGCATATGATGTTATTACACATTAAAAGAGCCCAAAAAGGTCACTTCATCTCTAGAAGCATAAAAACAAGACATACCAGCCTGAAATCAGTCAATATTATTTGATATAGATTTCAGCTACTATGAGCAGCACTCCACCTAATTTTCCTATTAAATAAATTTAAATAAACTCAATGGAAATTAGAGCTGTGAGTATTTAGAAACAAAAAAGCTGGTGGAATGGAGTGACAAAACTGTTGAGTTTTTAAGTAGTCACATCTCTCCCAACTTCTGTTTGCTGACCTCCAGGAAGTATGAAAGGCAGTGGTGCTCAGGAACAAAAGCCTTTAACACAAATGAAGTATTATTTCTTGATGTAAGAAAAGGAAATGGGAGCCGTTTAATAAAGAACAATTCATTATTTTTCTTCTAATAATTCCGTATTTAATTGTTCATTGTTAATCACTGTTATGATCCCGAGGTTTTTTTTTTTTAATGCCTTTCAAAACTAATTAACACTCTGTCCCAAAAGTTTTGTTAAACCCTCTAAGTGAAAGTAAAATCAGGAAGAATGGGCTTGGTCTTAGAGTTTTCAGTGACTCAATCAGCATATATTTATTGAGATGCTACCATATATTGTGACAAAAGGTCCATATTATGAGCATGGGTTTATTAGAAAGATAGTTCAATCTGAATTTCATAAAAGAACCTCAAATTCTCTATTTCCAAAGCAGAACTCATTACCTTACCTGCGACACTTGTGTCAGCCATCACCGTCTCACTTGGATTGCAAAAAACTCCTGTTTTCACTCTTTTCCTCTGCATTCTGCATTCTGCATTCTGTTTTCTACCCAGTAACCTGACTGGTCCTTTAAAATGGAACTCAGATCTTGTTGCTGCTCTGATCAGACTTCCCAGTGACCGCTCGTGTCACGCACAGCGTGAAAGCCATGTCCTCACAGTGGCTGGTGTGGTTCAGCCTGCCATTACCTCTTGACTGTTCTGCCCTCCTGCTCTCCTCCTTACTCACTCCACTTGAGAGCCTACTGACCCTTTTGTTCTTTGCACCTGCCAGGCATACGGCTCATGCCTTTGGATTTTTGCATTGGCTGCTTTTCTGCCTGAATGCTTTTCCCAGATACCTGTATGATGAATTCCTGCACCTCCTTCGAGTCCCTTCGCAAATGTCACTTTCCAGTGAGACCACCTATTTAAACCCACCACCCACTCCCCATTTGCCCTTCCGCTGCTTTTTCCCCCATGGCCCTTGTCACTTTTTGATGTACTATAGAATTCACTTCTGCTGTGTATTGTCTCCCTTCCCTGTAGAATGTAGGACTGCATAAGAGAAGGAATCTTTTGTCTATTTTTATTCTAATGTATCTCAAATATCTAGAACAGTGCCCAGTGTTTACTAGGTGTGCCTTAGTATTTGCTCAGTGAATGAATGAATGGGCAGTTCTCAGAAGAAGGAACCTGAATGGCCAATAAACATTTGAAAAGACCTTCCACCTCACTAACAATCAGGTGAATGAAAATTAAAAGAATGATGAGATACCATTTGACACCTTGCAGATGGCCAAAAATGTTAACATCCGACAATATTGTGGGGCAAGATTAACTCTTATACAGTGCTGGTGGGGGACTAAATTGGCACAGCACTTTGGAGAGCAATTTAGCAAACCCTATGACTCAGCAGTGCCCTCCTGGGGAGAGAGGAGAAGGGAATTAGAGAGGAACACAGGGAGCTTCAACTATTATCTGTATCAGAATTTCTACTTCTTTAAAAAACAAATAAAGTAAATCTCTGTAAGTATGCTGATACGGAAATATGTTCAAGACACATTATCAAATAAAAAATGCATGTTTTGAAAAAAATATATATAAATAACCTATTTTTGCTTATATGCGACTCAAAAATCTGGAGAGAGACATACTTATTATATAGTAATGTATTATAACAGAATACACAGTTTTGTATTGTGGTAACAAAGATAATTTTATGACAAAGTACAAACATTATAATATACTGTAATAATTGAAAAATCATAAAAGTTAAAAATAACCTACTAAAACCAGTCTCAAATGTCTCTCATATATTTACTACTTCTACAATTAAAAAAAAAACAGGTTATTTTCAAAAGTGATAAACAGGGAAAACTTTACATTTCCCCCCACTTTTTATATTGTCAGCTTAATACTGTGAGCTTGTAGCTTTTTTTTCAGGATGTTAAAAGGGGATGTTTGAATAGTGAATGGGTAAGTGATTTATCTCAGGAGAAAATTTTCAGTAATGGTAATTTATTATTCAAAGGGAGGAACTAGAGCATAAAGCAATTTGTCAAACTTAAAATGCATTTCTCAGTACCAAGCACTTTCTGTGGGTAACAAAATTTAAAAAAAAAAAAAAAGAAAGAGAGAAAGAAAAGAGAAAGAAGGAAAGAAAGCAGCCAGCCGCATTTCCTAGTGAACATCAGCTTCGATGTTGTCACTGATCTTTTTTTCTTCTAATGTGTTCTCAGATTGGTGCTCTCCTCTGTCTCAGATTATTTTGCTGCCATGTTTACTAATGATGTCAGGGAAGCAAGACAAGAAGAAATAAAAATGGAAGGTGTAGAGCCAAATTCACTCTGGTCCTTGATTCAGTATGCATATACAGGTAAGAAATCTGAAAATAGAAACTTGATACCTCTTAGATTTAAATTTTATTATTAGATTTCAGATTTCTGCTTTTAATAAAGCCTGCCACAGCCAACAGTTAATTCTACTGTTATAACCACCACCCCTCATGATTCCTTTATCTATATTAGAACCTTTAAAATGATTACCATAACTAAGCTTTTGAATGATATTTTTAAGTGTTCATGTAATAATTAAATGAGCTATATAATGTTTTAGAATTACTGCACTTAAAATTTGAATTTTATATAATAGATATGTTACTAATTAAATCATTCTTTAAAAATTCTGGAAACAAGCTATTAGTTTTTATTTTAGTAGGAGTCACAAAGAGCTAATAATTCTTTTTTCATATTTAGTACTTTTTTTTCTTTTTTGAATGTCTTAAATCATCTATGTCTGGAATATGTGTAATGAGCTCTTATTTTAAAATACTACACACAAATTGTGCTGAACACTGGAATTTGACACAACATTGTAAAATGATTATAAATCAATAAAAAATGTTAAAAAATATAAAATACTACGCCAGTTACCTTACAAACTAAAGTTCATATGTTTCCACAGTTAACGGAATTTCTTTTTATTGTTAAGGCCGCCTTGAATTGAAAGAAGATAATATTGAGTGCCTGTTATCTACAGCTTGCCTTCTTCAGCTTTCACAGGTTGTGGAAGCATGCTGTAAGTTTTTAATGAAACAGCTTCACCCATCCAACTGTCTTGGAATCCGTTCTTTTGCTGATGCTCAAGGTTGTACAGATTTGCATAAAGTGGCTCACAATTACACTATGGTATGTATTTTCTGGAAAGCCGGAAGGCACATGCTCTCTGCCTGATTCCTTACTGCTGCAGGCTTATCTCCATGTTGCTGTTCTCCCAGGGCTCTGCCGTATGTCTTGAGGTTCAAGTGCAGGTTCACTGTCTAGTGTGTCATAGTTCCATTGAGTTATGAGGGAAAACACCAAGTAATATTTCTCCTGGGTATGAGAGTCAAGCCTCAAATTATCACAGCCACTAATAAGCTGAGCAGTGGCCTAGGACCATTCCAGTCAAGATTTTCAGATCTGCTCCTTTTTGAAGCCGGATTTCTCCCGAACATTTTACTCTGTAGCACATGGATGAATTTCAGAATTGTCCACATATTCACTGACAGAAGTTGGTGGTAGTGACTGTAGTGTATCGGTGCAGTACCGGTACAGCAGACAGGAGATGAAAGGGAGGCTTTTTCTTAAGGATAAGTCTGACTACATGATAAAAAATGTTTGTAGCTATGTAGAAAGATGTTCTTATTAATTGTAGCAAATGACATACTCAAAATAAATTGCAGGGTTTCTGATTCAGAAGCCTGGAGGATAATGATTTACAGATTGATCTAGGACAGCAAGAAAATAAGGGCACGTGGAGGGCATACTGCTAGGACCAGCCTCACCGTCTTAAGAGTAGTGGGGTTTGGAGAAGGGATGCATGAGGATTTTTAAGGGATGACCATCTTGCCACATGTGGGTCTTCAAAACTGGGCAATGATGAAAGACTTTTGCTTTAAATGCCTCCAATAACATTGACATATGAATATATCATTATCCACATTACTGACTTTGTCAACTTCTAGATGATTTTTTTTCAGGGGCGGTCTACCCTCTCTACGATCCCCTGCCCTTCCATTGAATTGGTTTGTATGTGAAGGGATTGACAAGTACTTTAGGAATATTTCACTAGCAAAACAGAGATTTGGAAAAATTGTAAGAGCAGGTATTTACAACTATTGGGGAGATTAATTCTACTTACTTCATAAGCTTGATGTGGGGATTAAATGCATTAATGGACGTTTAGCACTTAAAACACTGATTGATACATTATATACCCAGTCAGTAATGATATCATCACCATCACTGCATAGATTTGCTCTATTCAGCACAGTAGGGATCTGTGTGGGTGAGCAAAAACACTCAGACAAAAGCACAACCTTTATGATTCATTATTCTCCCTGTGGTGTCATCACTTCTCAGAAATGTTTCTTATTTATGATTTGCAAAGTGCTTCAAGTGAAAAAACAGAGAGTGTGCAACAGGGCAATACTGGGCAATACAGACTTAGCGTGGTTCTAGGTTAACATCTTTTGAGTTAAGTTCTTTGAAATATTTTTCTCCCTCCGTCTTTCTCCTTCCTTGTAGATTTCATGTTTTAACCTTTACACTTCAAGTTCAAAAACTTTTTGAACTAAGATGAATATAAGTAAACTAAAGCTGGGTTTTTTTCCTTTGTAATCAGTTCATAATTGAAGTAATATCTCTTTCCTACAAAGGAGTTTTATCCACATGAAAACATTTGTATGCGTTTAGGTCATTCCTGTTGTTTACAGTAGAGGCACAATTGCCGCTTTAAGGCTTAGATACAAATTAAATTTAAATTAGCTCGATGTTTATAAAGCTATTTTCATAGCCAATTAGTTGTGGTAGTTTTTTTTTTCTCAAGGCCATTATATGACATTATTCAGTTTCAACAGAGACATGAAATTGAATTCTAATAACAATAAGTAATTTAGAGACAGATTGTGTAATGTGAACTGTTGCTATGGGAACTGAATGAAATGTATAGCAAAGTTCAATCTTCAATTTAAATAAATCCCTCAGTAATTTCATTTGCTTAAAAACTATTCCAAAGGGAGAAAGAGCATAATGCTAGCAAGTGTTTGGTAGTATGATAGCTGTTTGTGTCATAAAGTGGAGTTAAAATATGAAGTAAGGACAATGACATAGAGTGAAATCAGTTATCATAATCAGTAAATAGGGCGTGTACTTGGGATGTTCACTGATCCTGCGTGAATACAAGTAGAAAAGGATGGGGAATTCCCTCTTGTAATCCTGAAATCTGGAAACTTGTTCTTGTTCTCATTGCCAGTAAATGTGACCTGGAATACATAATTTATCCTCTAAAAAAAGTTTAATACTGGTTATAGCATTACAAATATTTAATGTTGTTATCGATTTATAAAATAAACATTTGATTTTACAATTTTAAATTTTGTTTCTTCATCTAGAAAACCTATAAAAACATTGGATTTTGATAAAATACCTGCTTCACACCAAATTAATACTTTTGAGAAGCACTTTGTGTTTAACCTTGTTGAGTAGTATTTCCGCAAGGTGTTGAAAACTCAATTGTCACTTAATACGAATTACACTAGAATGCGGTGGGCATTGTTCTGAAATAGATATATCAACAAACTATTAATGAAATGAATATTTATGTAATCTTTTTCTCATTGATGAAATCCAATTAATACCATTTAAAAATATGGCAGTAGTTACTTCAGTGTTGTATAAATGTTGACTGTGCTGTATACTATAATCTAGAACAGTTAGAAATGTACATTATTTTGATTTCTTCAGAATCTCATCTAAGATTATGTAACAGATGTCTTTCCATGTACCCAGGTAATCTTTTTCTTTGAAAATTTTAATGCCTGAATAATAGTCCATTGAGTTACAACTCCATAGAGCTGGACATTAGGCTATTTCCCATTTTTTACTGTTGTAAATAATAATACAGAGAGACACCATCAGAGAAGCATAAGCTTTCCTTCCCCCTCTTGTGAATTATTTGCTAAGGATTAGACAACTCATGGGATAACTAGGTTGAGAGCTTCAACATTTTTATAGCTCTTGCTTTGTGTTACCAAATCATTTTATAATGTCAGTATGCAATTGAGTAGAACAGTTTGCTTGAAGCCATTCCAGCCCTGAGATTTTATTAAAATATATTTCTGAAAAATGATAATCAGTCATTTAAAATAGATTCATTTGGGCATCTTTAACAAATCATGATGAATTGAAGCAATTGAATTTAGTTAATTATTCATGTATGGTTTTCCTCTTAAGAATTTCTAGAAAAGGAATGAAATGTCAACCCAAGATAAATTTTAGATTAGTACCTAACTTGGGTTACTGGAGGCTATGTGAAAAATATAATACTCATTTTAATATAGAAGATAATTATTGATAGTCCTTATCTCTAGCTCTAATTTAAGTAGCTTTAGCTATTTTTAAACAGCTCTAATATAAACAGCCTTACCTTTTTTACTAAAACTGTATGTTGAGCTAGCCACAGTGCCTTATGAAGCATAAGAAAAACATTAAGGGACAATACATCTAGCATTTGCTTTTATGTCATAACTGTGTAAACAACTCACGTGTTAACATTTGTAACCTTGCACACCAAAAGGTATTTCCCTTCTTTTTAGATTGTTTAGCATAATAGCCTAGTAAAAGTTATTACCTCCCACCTAAGGGCATTTTTATCTTCCATTTCAAATTATAGAGGGCCTGATTCTAGAATGTGGCCAGAACTGAGTCATCTTTAGTCTAAGGTCCTGTAGTCCCAGTGCATTCTAGGTCAACATTTTTATTTTGGCTCTTTTTGCTATGAGACCAAAAAAACTTTGTATGTAAATCTGGTTAAAAGAGATTGAAGTTTTCAAATCAGACCTAAAATCCTTGGTGGTCTTATAAATAACATTAAAACACTTTTAAAGGCCAGTTTGGTTCTAGGATATCCCTAAGGACACATGTGGCCCAGAATGGCCTTGGAAATTTAGCCACCCTGGAGGCCATTTCTGGGTAGGAGAAATGACTTCATGCTCGCTCAGGTATTTGGCTTCCCTGTTGGCCAGATTCTTTGGCAACCACAAATCTTAACCTACTTTTGATGTTAGAGTATCATACATCTCAGTGTCTATTTCATTTTTCCTATTTTCCTTTGAAAAACTTGCCAAAACTACTCCCTAACTTGAGCAAAGTGATACCTAAAGTCCCAAATTTATTTTTAAAATTGTAATAAATAATGTAACACTTTAATTCTACTTAAATAGAAATAAGAATTTTAACAACATAATTACAGTTTAAATGTTATTTTCTAAGGTTTCTTTCCTGGCAAGCAGTAATACTAGGAAGAGCTAAAGTATAAACTTTTTTGGTATCTAATTCAAAAGTGTTTCATTTCTTTTAAGTACATTGTGATGGACAGAAGAAACAATATGGTTTGTATGCTCTTTTTCCCCTCTAGGAACATTTCATGGAAGTAATTCGAAACCAGGAATTTGTATTATTACCAGCCAGTGAAATTGCAAAACTCTTAGCAAGTGATGACATGAACATTCCTAATGAGGAGACAATATTGAATGCACTTCTTACTTGGGTCCGTCATGATCTGGAACAGAGACGGAAAGATCTCAGTAAACTTTTGGCTTACATTAGGCTACCTCTTCTTGCACCACAGGTAAACAATTTTTAATCATTTAAAATCAGTGTCATAACTTCAACAACAGTAGTTGTTGTGACTTTGAGTAGTCAGCCTTCCACATTCTCAGGCTTTGCATCCATGGGCTCTGCATCCTGGGTTCAACAAAGCATGTATTGCAAAAAAATTTTTTTTAATTTCTAAAAAATTCCAAAATGCAAAACTTGAATTTGTCCCATGCCAGCAACTATTTACATTGCATTTACCACTGTTTACATAGCATATGCCTTGTAAGTAATCTAGAGATGATTTAAAGTGTACAGGAGGCTGTTCAGAGATAATATGTAAATACTACACCGTTTTATATCAGGGACTTGAGATGTTGGTATCCACAGAGGTCCTGGAACCAATCCCCCCTCCCCAGAATACTGAAGGACTATTGTAGTCCCTTTATGCTAATTACATTAACATGAGCTTGTCTGTATGTTTTTTCCTTTAACTGTTCTATTCAATAAGGTTATTCTACATATATGCCTATGAAATGTTAAGGTGAAAAGATAGTGAGCTGAAAAAAGATCTGTTTATATGTTCTCAACCCGGAAGGTCTGACTACCTAAATTGCATCCATTAAGTAACATTGTTGCTTTGGGGTTAGTAGTTTTATTTGACTCAGCTATAAACCTATCCTAGCAATTGAAGAATTAATAAAGCTGCTAAAGAAAGGAACACTGGACTCTAGGAACCAGAAAATTTAGATTAATTCATTTGCCACACATTGATTAAGTATCCACTAAATGCTGGATTCTGGTGATGTATAAGTTAATGAGACATGGTAACAGTTCTAGCTCTGATGTTTTACAACTGTGATTTGACATATGCACATACCTCGGTTTCTTCATCTGTCGAGGGGAGATAACATCCTTTACATCTGACAGGATTTTTATGAGGATCAGAAAAATGTTCTGTGAAATAAAATATGCTATAAATAATAATAGTATGATTATTATTATTTTTAGAATTGAGAGATATTTGGTTGGTATAGTCAAGGCAGTCAGTCATAACATATTTACATGCATAGTTCCCCTTTTAATAATTTCAGCTAGAATAAACAAAAATGTCCTCTGCATACTTTGCTGCTTATTTTGAGGCCTTAAATAGAGTCCTTGAAAGTAGAGAAAGAATGAGCTGTTACTGTTCGAGATCACATTTTGTTGTTGTTTAAAATGCCGTGAGTTTCCTTTTATTTGTATTCATCTTGAGGATTATGTATTATTTCAAGCTGTTGTGAGCAAAAGTTACTGTTTGCTCTCTACCGTACAGAAACAAAAATCAGTGCTGATGCTTTTATAAGAAAGACCTCCCTCTTCAGAGTAAAATATTTTATGAATTCGTAGAAGTGAAACTGCATGAATTGATAACAATTCAGGAAAAATAACATCAGAAAACATTTCTCCTTAGTCTCACAGACATAGAAAACAAACTGTGGTTACTGGAGGGGGAGGGTCGGGGGCAGGGATAGATTAAGGGTTTGGGATTAACAGATACATATTACTATATATAAAATAGATAAACAACAAGTACCTACTGTATAGCACAGGGAACTATATTTAGTGTCTTATAATAAGTTGTAATGGAAAAGAATCTGAATATATACATATATATATATACACATATACATATATATGTTTTTTTTTAAAAAAGCATTTCTCTTGAAATCAGATGTAAAGAGAGAGCTGTTTTTACTGGTACCTAACAGAATGTTTTTCTTATCCTTTTCTAAATGAAAGAAAATAAAATCTGAAAAATCCTAATAGACTTTTAAAAGAATCTGTGCAATTGAGTAACCTGACAGTTTACTTTAGTCCTGCAGTTTCAAATATTTATGATACTGTATTTGCATGACTCTCAGAGACCTTTAAAATTTCTTTTATCCAGGATACTGCTGATAATCGTAGCCATAGTTGAAAGGCACTTTGGAAATCATTTGGTCTAACACCTGTTATACAAATGAAGTAACAGAACAAGAAAGTAAAACTGTATGTTTGAGATTACAAAGTGATTGCATAAATCCCTGTCCTTCTACACTGTAGTTTTGTTTGCCTTTGCTGCTTGGCTAACATCATAGATTAGAGCTAATAAGAGTCACAGGTAGAACTTGAACCCAAATAAAGTTCTATGCCTTTCCCACTGAACTGTTCTGCCTCTTGAATGTAGTTTGTGTAAAATTGCTAGGATGAAGGCTGTGATAGATATATAAACATGACATTATGAAAATAATTGGAGTAGCCCACCCAGACTGATTGTGGGGAAGCTGGGAGAATCTCTGAAGTGTCAATCTGCATCCTTAGTTAGCTACCAAAGGAAGGGGCATGATAGCTCAGGCAAGTGGGAGATTGTACCTAGTTATGAAGTCATGAGCAAATATATTGTGTTCTGGAATTTGAAGATAGCTTGCATGGCTAGAGTGCAGAAATAAAAGGGCAGTGTTGAGAGATGAGGCTGGAGAGGGAAGCAGATCACGAAGAATCGCTAGTCATGCCACAGGGTTTAGATTTTATCCTAAAAGCAATGAGAAAGCACTAAAGGATTTTAAATAGGGAATGGCATTATTAGCCCTTTATTTTCGAAAGCTCCTATGACTGCATTGCAGAGAATGGATTGGAGAGGTCAAAGTAGAAATCCATTAGGAAGTCTGTTGGATTCAGACAAGTGAATTAAGCACTCTCTGGCAGTAGAGGTAAAGAAATTAACTACCAGGGTCAAAAGCTGCTTAGGAGGTAGAACTGATGCAACTTAATGATCATGTGAATGATGGGGAGTCAAAAAATGAAGGGTCAAGAAGAATTCTGATTTGTACAACTAAGTTAATAAAGGTACTGTTATCTAAGACAGAATACAGAATGAAGAGCTGATTTTTGAAGGTGGGGAAAGAAGTTGAGGATGGAACCTTGTTCCCAGAGCTTCTTGACACCTTTAATCTTCTTAAATTCTAAGGAGAAGTTTTGAAAACTACTTCTTTAGGTTGTTGAAGCCAAGGGGAAGAGAGTGACATCAACCAAAGAGAACACAAGAGCATAGGGTTGGAAACCTAGGAAATACTAGTATTTATTGGTAGTTCCCAAATCTGCTGAAGGAAGAAATTTTAACATCATCGGATGCTACAGAGAAGACAAGATAAAGACACAAAATAATCCACTGGATTAGCCCAGTGGTTTCCAAAGTGCCATCCTAGCTGTAGGATCATCTCTATGTGGGAAACTGTTTAAAATCCAAATAATTAGGCCACCACTCTACACCTGCTGCATCTGAAACTCTGGGGATGGGCCAGGCAAACTGTGTTTTAAAAAGCCCTCAGGTGCATCTAACGCACACTTGAGTTTGAGAACCACTGTTCAAGCCTGATGAGTAGCAATGATGGAAGCCACATTGCCCTGTATAATGTAAACAAGTTAATAACACCTTTTTGAGCAATTTTTCTGTTTTACAGTGATAATACTGTTTGCACCATTGTGACATTTAGAAATAGTAGAGGGGTTTTTGTTTTTGTTTTTTTTCTTACTAAAAGTAAAGGGCAAGTTTGCAGAAAGGAGTTGTCAAGTCATAAAGTTTTGAAGTAGACTAAAATCATCAAGAAAAGGTTGGATTATATTCTGAAAGTTTTATTTTAAAGGATAGGAAAATGATGAAGTAGCTAAGAGAGTAGATCTTAAAACTTCTTAAAAAAAATTGTAACTGTGCAGGGGTAGATGTTAACTAGCCTTACTGTGGTGATCATTTTCAGTATATACATATATCACATCATTACATTGTATACATGAAACTAACATGTTGTATGTCAAATATATCTCAATAAAAATTAAAACAAAAAAGATGAAAACAAAAAATTTCTAATGCCTAACAAATAAATGATTTTTTTAAATTGCCATTAGGTCCAGTTACTTAAAGAATTTACTTTTGTGAAATAGTTCCTTTCTCAATGAGGTCTTACTCTACTCTGTTGATATGAAGCATTCTATTTAACCTAGCTAGAAGGTGTTCAGCTTAAACATTAGTAAGTTTATGGTAGTGTCTCCTTAAAATGATGTAGGAAATGATATATATAATTATAATCCTCTACCAAATGATCATTTTCGTGTGGCTTTTTAAAAACCCGAATAATCCAGAAGACAAATATGTGTGGTTTTATTTTACCTTTGAAAGTTTCTGGACTTTTCTGTTTGATCACATTTTAAATAATGTGGATAGAAATACAGTAGACCCTTGAACAGCATGGGGATTTATCTATGTATAACTTATAGTCTGCTCTCCATTTCTGAGGTTCCCCCACAGCTGTGGATTCAACCCACCACAGACTGTGTTAAACTGTAGTATTACTATTGAAAAATACACATGTGTAGGCCAACTGGTGTAGTTCAAACCAATACTGTTCAAGGGTCAACTGTGTTAGGACATTATTTTAAAGATTTTGACACCTCAATTCTCAGTGTTCCCAGTGGTTAGCCTGTATTACAGGTATCTTGGTCTTCCCTATTCTGTTCCAATTCTCATTACTGTTTTTGACTAAAATTCAGAAATGTAAAATGAATCAGTATTTACCTTTATTTACCTTTTAATATATAAGTTTTGGATACCAAAACATTTTTTAAAGCCTATAGAGTTCATAAATCATTCACAGTCTATTTTTCACTCTGAGCAGTAGGGGGACAGTTTTAGAGAATAGTCATATGGTGAACAAGTATGTGAGTGAAGATAAAAATTTACAAATTGAAAATGTTTCTTCTATTTTCTAAATGTTCCCATTTTAATACTTTGCCCTTCTTTTATGGCAGAGAAGTTACATAGTATTCACCTAAATGCAGAGTATATGAGAGTTTCTATTTTGCAGTCCTCTCTCTGTGCCTTCTGAATGATTTTCCAGATGATATCTGGTACCTTCCATTTGATTAATTGGACCCTTGGATTAATGGATTCATATTTTCTTCCATTACTTTCCTTTCTCTACTTAAATATAATTAATCCTATTATTCATAAATGATAGACATTGTCCAGCATGCTGAGAAACATATTTTATTTCATATTGCAGCCACTATTAAGTCTTCTAAAGCTTTACTTTCTATAGTTTTTTCACATTTATTTTTATTTAGAAAGGACTAAAACAATTACGTCTATATAATGGAAGTAATATGAACACTAAGATTAATCTAAATGAGCCAACTCAGGGCATATTCATTAATGATTTCTCTAGCAAGTGTAACTATATTTTGTGTGCACAGAATATGGAATAATTAATACCAGAATTTATACTCTGGCATAGGTCTTGAGACTTATGTCTTAATTTGCCTTTTTTGCCTTTAGCATGCTGTTCTTGGTTTCCAAGTGCCGCAAGCTATTACAGTGACTTTTGTTAGAGACTCTTCCTTCTTTTCTATTATCAAAATATGGACATATTCTCAACATTATTAGCCATTAAGGAAAAGCAAAGTAAAACTCCATTTCCCACCCACTCAAGTGGCTAAAAAAGTAGTAATAATTAGGGTGAGAATGTGAAGAAACGGGAACCGTCATATACTGCTTGAGTGAATATAAAATAGTGCAGCCACCTTGGAAAACAGTTTGGCAGTTTCTTAAAAAGTTAATACAAATTTACCATATGCTGCAGCAGTTCTACTCCTAGGTATCTACCCAAGAGAAATGAAAATATATATCCACACAAAGACATGCACACAAATGTACTTAGCAGCTTTATTCATAATAGCCCAAAACTGGAAACAACATAAATGTCCGTCAGCTGGTGAGTGGATAGACAAAATGTAGTGTATCCATACAATGAATTATTATTCAACAATAAAAAGAAATACTACACATGGATGAACCTCAAAAACATCCTAAATGAAAAAAACAAGACACAAGAGACCACATATTGTATGATTATACTTATATAAGACATCTGAAAAAGGCAAATCTATAGAGAGAGATTAGCACTTGGAATAGAAGTTGGGAACTGAGATTAACAGTAAACAGGCATGTAGAATCTAACTGGGGAGATGAAAATGTTCCAAAACTGGTTTTTGGTAATGGTTGCACAACTTGGTAAATTTACTAAAAATCATTGAATTGTATACCTCAGTGGTGAGTTATATGATGTATAAAATATACCTTATATTATCAAATACAATCCTGCAGTGTTTCAAAAGGATAATACACTATGACCGGGAAGGTCTTATTCCAGGAATACAAGAATGATGAAGTATTAGGAAATCTGTCAAGGTAATTGTATCAATAACTTAAGGGAGAAAAAGCCATGTATGATCATATCGATATATGGATAAAAGATATTTAGAAAAAATAAGCAACCATTCTTAAGTTTGGAGGTCTAAAGTAAAATAGAGAAGAAAGCAACCTATGTATAATAAAGATAGATTACTAAATGCTATATTAACTATTATCCTAAATAATGAAACACTAAAACCATGTCAGTTTAAAACAGAAAAATGGATATTCGACTATTTAACATTGCTTTGAAGATTTAGCAATTGCAATGATAAAATAAAAATGAAATAATTGGCACATACATTAGAAAAAATGTAACTATCCCTGTTTGGTGATTATTATGATTGGGTGCCTAATAGCTAGAGTTTTATAAAGGAATGTGGTATAGTAGTAGGTTATAATAGAAGTGTACAATAATCAGTAGAGTTTTCTCTCCTCCAGCAAAATATATGTAAAATGGAAATTCAGAAATCCACTCCCAATAACAACAAAAATAATAAAATTTGTACAAATATATTTAATAAAAGAAAGGCAGATACCTATATAAAGAAAGCTATAAATAGAAAAGCTTCTTGAACAGAAAGACTTAAATCATAAAAATGTAAATTTTCCCAAAATAATAAATAAGTTTAATGTAGTTTTAATGTGTTAGAATTCCAACAGGATCAAGATGGTGAAGAGGAATTAGATAAATTAATCTTTACTTTATGTGAAAAGTAAAATCTCAAAAATAGCCAAGAAAACTATGAAAATAAACAGTGAGGGTAGATTTATATCATAAAAACAGAATATGCTATAAAGACACTGTAATAAAACATAGTATTAGAAAAGAAAAAGACAAGTAGACTAATTGAACAGAGTAGAGAATCCGCACCACCCCCTCAGAAAAAGGGATCTCAGATATCTAGAGATCTATTTATGACCAAGGTTCAATTCAGTTGGACATAGAGGAAATTATTTAGTAAATGGCCCTGGTACAGAACAAGCTATCCATCTGGAAGAAGAAAAAAATATTCCTCAACTCATACTCTTTTTAAAAATTAGTTTCACATGGATCAATAGCCTTAATAAAAGAAATAAGGCAATAAAGAGATTGAGAGGGGAATGGAGAATCAAGCACAAAAGGAAAAGAAATACATTTTTAAAAAGGCAGTTGTAATTATATTTACAAATTTATATAAAATTACATAAGTAAAAAAATAGAATTCAGTGAAGCACAAGGATTTTAATTCTTTTAGAATAATCACCATTTGAAGTTCTTTGCCCTTCAAAAAATTGGGAAGTTTTGTTTTTGCTGTTGTTGCTGGCTGAACATTGTTTAGAGAGGTCAGATAAATGCAATCTAATTAGTCAACTCCTACTTGTAATTATTCTTCAGTTAAAACTATTTCTAATTTTAAAAGGAAAATCATTTATTTTGGAAAATATAGAAAAGTACTAAAAAAAGGTTATTGAAAAAGCACCATTTTCCCCACTACCAAGAGAGAAGCACTGTTAAGATCTTAAAGTACCACTTACCTTCCTCAGTTTTTGTTTTGAAATGTAAAATGTAAATGTTGCATTTTTTTTTAGTTAAAAATAGATGTCCAGACTTGGATATTTTTAAAGGAGATCATTTCCATTTGGGACTAGCTTATTCTTTTAACCTTACAATTTTCTTGGTCATTCAATATATAAACTCACTATTCTTTTCTAGTTCTTGGCAGACATCGAAAATAATGCACTTTTTCGAGATGATATAGAATGTCAGAAGCTCATTATGGAAGCAATGAAGTATCACTTATTACCAGAGAGACGGCCCATGTTACAGAGTCCTCGGACAAAACCTAGGAAGTCAACTGTCGGTACATTGTTTGCAGTTGGAGGAATGGATTCAACAAAAGGTATTAAGTAATCTTTTATTTGAAGGAACAGGAAAAATGAATATAAATTAGTAATAAATATGGCCAGAGAGCTCCTGGGAGAAGCAGCTGGTTCTAGCACTGGGGTCGGAAAAGTACCAGATAAGCCTAGAACATCATGTTATTCCAGAAAGTAAGGTAGCGCTCAAAGAATGATGGAGACAGGTCAAGAGACACAGGAGACAGTGTGTAGGGGCTCCCACTGTCCAAACCAGAGATAATTTCAGCATCAAAGTAAAGAATGATAATAAAAGATTATAAATAGGGGAATGCTAACTGATTAAAACATAGAAGCAAGGATGGGATTAGAAAAATCATCATTTGGCAGTCACCATATTAATAACCAGTTCAGTCAAGAATCATCAACGGATGTTAAGGCTGGTAGGTAGAAGTTTGAGGACAGGATTTTTAGACTCAAATTATCTCCCAGCTGCTTGTTTATTAGTTATAAAACATAAAATGGTATCTTTACAGTGGAGAGATCTGGCACACAGCACCTTAACTAAATAATCAAAGTTCGTGTCGTCAGTAATGAGACTAACCAGCAGCCTGTGCTTCTTATGATGCCCTGAGAACTCAGCTGCACATCTGTGGTGTTCTTGCCAAAAGTGTATAATCCAGACTTCACCATGAGGAAAAGACCAATTCACGTTGAGAGACATCCTTCAAAAGAACTTGTGTGAAGTATCCCAAAATGTTAATATCAAGAAGTGCAAAAGAGACTGGGGAATTGTCTCAGATGAAAGAGAGTAAAGAGGCATGACAGCTATTATAAAACATCATCTTAGATTGCCTTCTGCTGTGAAGGACATAATTGGGACAAATGACAGAATCCAAACAAGGCCTGTAGATTAGATAACAGTATAGTATAAATGTTGATTTCCAGATTTTGATGGTTATATTATGGTTTTGTAAGAGGATTTCTTGTTTTGAAGAAGATACACCACAGTATTTAGGGGTACAAGGGCATCATTTCTGCAACTGACTGTTAAACAGCTCAGAAAAACCTCCTGCATACATATACACATGCATAGAAAGCAAATGTAAAAGATACAGATTGGGGAGATCTGGCTCAAGAGTATCTGAGAATTCTTTGTGCCCTTCTTGCAGTAGTAGTTACCCAGAGTAACAGTAATAGCGACAGACACCATACACAGTGCCTACTCAGTGTCAGGTATTGTGCTAGAATCTTTTGTGTATGTATTATTTCTAAGTATAATGTATCTACTTCCTCTGAATTGCTGGTCCTAATAGTCTGCCATCCCCTGACAATACTTCTGACTTCTGGCCACCTCTCTGGTCTCCGCTCATTCTACTTCTCCCCTCCCTCCTTCTGTTCCAGCCTCATTGGCCTCCCTGTTCATCTGACATTGCATTAGCTGTTCCCTCTCACTGGGAGGCTCTGCACCCTGATATCAGAATGCCTGGCAGAATTTCTTCACTCAGACCACCTCTCAAATGTCAGTTTACCAAAGAGGACTTCCATGACCATTCAGGAGCAACCTCTTGCCCATCACTTTCTAATCTTCTGCTTACCACTTTCTCCTTACTCTGCTTCCTGTTTCTTCATAGCATCTGACACATTTGTTTGTAGTCTGTCTACCTTTTCCCCTCAAATAAGCTCCAGGAAAGCAAGGATTCTGTTTGGTTCACTGATATTCCCGTAGCCTAGAACAGTACTTTGTACATAGACAGCATCAGTAAGTATTTGTCAAGTGAATGAAGGTTGTCCACTGCCATCTCTTGTATTACTTGTATGACTAAAGCACTTGGTGTACTGATCATTTCTAAAGGTTTCTCTTTTATGTGACATCTCTAAGGAATATAAAAATAGGAGCTCTAGCTGAAAATCTTGCATTGTTATTTAACTTTCAGGTTCATGAAAGCAGAGATATTGATATAGATATAGTGATTATCCCATATAGCATATACCATAGTGCTAGGTAGGTATAGATGCTTAAGTTTTAAACATAGGTTTGATGACTAAATGGTACAGAAATACATAAAGTAAGATAACTGACTAGAGTTATAGAAAATTTTTGGAGATGTCCACTATCCTGATAATCAGTCTGAAAATACAAATTAAGTATCTACTTTGTGCCGGGAACTGGGATTGGCTTTGTAGTCATTACTAGCGCTTCCTCTTTCCCTCTTTCTTTCCCTTTTGTTTTTCAAGACTTTAACTGTTGTCTCTGTATCAATTATACTCTCTCACTCTGATTTTGTTCTCATACTTCCAACTTGTATAAAATATCTGCTTGATGTTCAACTTTCACCTCAAATTTGGTGTATCCAGATCTTCTCTAACCATGTTGCTCAGACTTTAGAACTTGGGCTCATAATTCAGTGCTCTTCAATGGACTCAACTCTGACTCATTTAAGCAGGCAAGGAATTTATTGGAAGGCTACTGAAAAATGGATAGGACTACATCCACTGTCCCTGCTTCCTTAGAATTCTTCCTTTAGACTTTTTTTAAACTTTTTTATTTTTAATGATTTTTTTTTCTTTTTTAGGGGAGATACTGGGGATTGAACCCAGGACCTCGTGTATACTAAGCATGTGCTTACCAATGAGCTATACCCTCCCCACTAGATTTTAAATTCTAGGTGCAAGCATCCATTTGACTAGCTTTAGGTCAGTCCTGGGCCCTAACATTCCAAGGACAAAGAGAAGGAATATCTGTCTTTTCAGTTTTCTGGGAGATAGGTTCCTGTTCCTGCCTCCCACCAAAGCTCATACATACAGTGAAAAATTCTGCAAGCATGGGAAGGGAACTCGGCTACTAAGTAGCCAAGTAAACAGTATAGATTTCCTCTCTCTCTGTCTTCCTCTCTCTGACTTAAACTCCAACAGTCGCAAAGTAGCTTCTTTCAAATGACTCTCATTCTTCCAAATTTCCACTGCTGTCTTGCTATTTCCAGTTAGCCTCCTGTCAGCCCACAAATTTTAATTATGTTAGCTTTATGGGAATAGCATTCATTATATGGTTAATAGGTGCCAGGCATTATGCTAAGCCCTTGCCCTATATTATTTTATTTCATCTTCCTAGCAACTCTGTATTATTGCCCTTTTATAGGGGAGGATAAAGGAGGGTACTGAGACTTAGAGAAGTTAATTAACTTTCCCAGGATCACACAACTAATTAGTGATGGAATCAAGATTCAAGCAGGCATTTTGACTCTGAAGACTCTACTCTGCTTGACTCTAATGTTAACTCTTCTGTTAGCATGCCATTACTCTGCTCAAAAACTCCAGCAATCTTTATTTCTTACTACATAAGGTGTAAATTCTTTTTCAAGACTTTCTATAATCTGGCCTTTGTGGCTTGACCCACTTCATTTCTAAGTCTTTTTAATAATCAAGAACTGCAATTCTATCCTATTCACACTGTCTTCCCAGGCCTTAACTTATCTTATTCCCAATGTCTTCATAATGAAGAGCAATTTGCATTAGTTGGATGGTAGTCAGATTATTGGGTTCTTAGTCCCTTTGTATATCTGTTTAGTATAGACATCAGCAAATAAGCCAATATGGTTCTAAATAGCCACTAAAAAAGTCAGAATATATTTGTGCTTACTTTTTTTTAAGATTAGTCCTTCAGTATGAATTATGGAAGTTCCAAGCTTTTACATAGGATTTTGCAAGTTTCCTAGGATTTTGTTATTTGAGGATATATTTTTAAGATATATGTTTTAGACTATATTTTAAGATCTTATGTCTTTAAAAATTATATTTGATATTAGCAAAAGAATCTTTAGTTCCCCATTCATAAGACTGTGATACTGCTTAGTGAACCATATCTAAAAGAAATAACTTAAAATTCAAATTTAAAATGTTCTTTAAATTCATTGGTGAGGAGAGATGATTAGCATTGCTTTTTTTTTGGAGGAAGGAAGGTCAAGTTTACAGTGATTATTCAAGTGTACTATTACATAAAATAATCTAAGAGTATGAGTAAAATCTCATTATAGTTAAAAATTACAAAGAAAGAATATTCAAATTCAAAAATATTTTTGAATAGCTACTATGTATAATGGAGTCTATTTTATGAAAATGCGAAGATGGAAAAAGACTTGGTATTTATCCCAAGTAACTTAAAATTTGTATAAAGTAAATAAAAATAATAAAAGCTATAATATATGAGAAAAAATATTTCGTGTGTTTGTGTATGTATTTCTAAATTTTAGGAGATTGCCAATAGCATCAGTTCTCTGATGATCTAGTTGTAACAAGCACCTTAGAATAAATGTTTGTCTTGATTGTCATCCTATAAGAATATCACTAATTGCATGCTGTATTAGAGGCTTAGAAGAGAGAAGTAAAGTAGATATTAATGGGACTCTTCATAACTGAGGGTCGGGTAAATTTGTTTTAGAGGAGTGGGTCTTTTCTGTTTCCCCTTAACTCCACTGGTCTAACCTCATAAAGAGAATAAAAGAGTTCCTTGGATCTTTTAATTCTTAAAAAAAATGTAGACACCATCTGATAGTTGTTCCCTGAACTTTCCACTTTCATAGTTCCCAAAGCACTTGATCCGCACTTACACTCTTGCCTTTCCCGGTTGCAGTAGAGTGTGTATCCCCTCCCTCCTCCTATGAAAGCCAGCCCCTCACCTGTGCCCTGGCACTGCCCTTTCCTGCCTCGTCAGGAACCTCACACTGTGAATGAGCATCCCTTCATCTCCTGTATTTTCAGCTGCTTTCCTCACTACTAGATCCTTCCCATTAACATTTAAGCAAACTCAAGTTTTTCCAATTTTGAAAGCAAAACAGAACAAAACCTCTCTCAACCCACCTAGTAATTCTTCTTTCTCTCCTTCCTTTTATAGGCACACTCCTTAGAAGAATCATCTGTGCTCAGTGTCTCCATTTTCTCACCTCCCAATCATGTCTCAACCACTCAAACAAGGGACTTCCCCTAAAGTCATCCATGACCTCCATGTAGCTAAATCCAGGAGTATGTTTTAGTCTTCATCTTACTTGATCCTCTCAACAGCTATACAGTTTTTTACTTTGGCTTCCATCATTCTAAACCACCCTGCTTTCCTCCCATTTCTGGCTGCTGCTTCTGAGCCTCCTTTGACAGATAATCCTTTCTCACTTGACCTTTTAATACCAGAGTATGGTGTACATCCTAGAGAATAGTAGGACTTGGGGGCAGAGATATTAGAGACCAGATCATGCAGGGGTTTATTGGAATATAATAGAAGTATTATTGTCAATGCTAATAGAATTATACTTCTGTATGTGTAATTTCATAAAATATTCAATCATGGTAAGCTTTTTATTTGCATCACTTCTACCAATTACTATCAAGGAGCAACAAGCATTGAAAAGTATGACCTCCGTACAAATATGTGGACTCCTGTAGCAAATATGAATGGGAGGAGGCTACAGTTCGGTGTTGCTGTGTTAGATGACAAACTGTATGTGGTTGGAGGAAGAGATGGACTGAAAACTTTGAATACTGTAGAATGCTACAACCCCAAAACAAAAACTTGGAGTGTGATGCCTCCTATGTCTACACATAGGCATGGCCTTGGTAAGTATAATGGCAGATTTGTTCATAATGTCATATCCTAGGCTTGCGTGGCATTTTACATTCTTTACCAGGCAGGAGATCAGTTGTGGCAGCTGCTCAGTCAGCAGCCACCAAGCATTGCTTCACATGCTGCCTGTTATCTGAAAAGTAGAAGCAGAGAAAACAAGCAGGTGCATAAAGGTATTAAGTGCAACCAGCACAAGTGAAAACGTGAATATTTAAGAATTGGGGTATAGCATGGACTGACAAGCCATCTTTTGACATATGTGTTCTGTGTTGACAATTAGTGTTATCTAACCTAACTGAAATGCTTATTTAAAAATCTTTAGCATTATTGTGTTTCCTCTTTATCTCTTGGTTTTTAAGCAGAAATGAATAAAACCCAGAAAAACTTTGAGGTAGCACAGAGTATGTAATGATAGAGACTTTTCATTCTTTAGTTCAATGATTGACTGAGTAGACATTGATTAACATGTGCTGTGTACTGCGCTCTTTGTTCTGTAGATATACAAAGATGAGGAAGACACTATCGTTACCCTCAAGGAACTGATGCTTATTCTGAAATGAATAGAATAGAATTTAGGGTTTTTGTATCAAGTGACCTCTCTTTCCTCATAGGAGAAAGAATAGATGAAATACAAAGAATTGTTTACTGAGAGTGAAGGAAAGGAAAATAAAATTAAGTGGGGCTTGAGTGTATGTGTATCACCCAGATTTTGCTGCATAACAAACCACTCCAGAGCTTAGAGGCTGAGACCAACAACCATTTATTTAGCTCGTGGATCTGTGCATCAGCTGGGCAGTTCTTCTGGTATGGGCTGTCTTAGAAGATTTCTGCGGGGTTTTCTCATGAATCTGGGGTGGGCAGGTTGGTTGGCTGGTTGCTCTAGAATGGCCTCACTCTCATGTGTAGTGGTAGACAGGCTGTCAGCCTGGGCAGCAGAGGCAACTGGACCATATGCCTCTAATCACTCAAGCTAGCCCAGGCTTCTTCACATGCTGACAGTCAAAGAGTTTCAAAAGCAGCAAGAGAAGCTAGGTCCCAATGCACAAAGACTTTTCAAGCTTCTGCTTGCATCATGTTTGCTAACATCCCATTGGCCAAAACAAGTCACATGGGCAAGTCCAGCTTCAAAAAGTAGAGAAATAGACTCCTCCTCTTGATGGGAGGACCTACAGAGTCACATTGCAAATAGGCATGCATTCTGGGAAAGGAAGAATTTGTGACTCTATTGTTAATTTATCACAGTTTGGAAAAGGTTGAAAATAGTTGCAATAAAGAACTTGATAGGTCATCATAAAAGGTGAATTAAAAGTTGGGTGAGTAGCAGTGAAGGAATAGTTGAGTATGGATAGCATTGCTCTATACTATACTCAGTTTATTAGTACTGAGCACCAGAGTAGAGGTTGCCCAAAAAGCAAAAAAAAAAACTTATGTAGGCATGAAGATTGGTATGGTAGTGGGTACAGCAAAAGATCAAAGAGACAAGGGATTCTACTGGTTGCTGTTAGGTTTCAGTGAAAGATGGTCTTAAGTTTCAAGTTAGGTAAGGGAATAAAACCAGAGAGTTAGGGCTAAGGTACTGAGAGAGTAGCTTAAAATCAACTATATGAAATTTAACAAAGAAAACTATAAAAAGTTACTCTTGAGTCCATAAAATCAACTATTACATAGTACAGAATGGTAAGATGTATCTTAAAAGCATGAACAAAACATATAAATTTGTGTTGACCATAAAATCCATGGTCAATAATGTGAGGCAACTGCAGAATTTCCCCTACTATGGGGAAAAGAGAGTCAATTCTAACTTTATGTAAATTATAATAGACATAGTACATAGAATGAGCATCCCCATGACCCAGCTATGTCTCACACAGATTAGATTGTGCATGGAATACTATCATTAGTTCTCGATACCATACAGAAGACTTTACTGAATTGCACCAAGTTCAAGGGAGAATGATCATATAGCTCAAAGTATCTTCCTTAAGTCTTTATTTCAAATTTTTGTGTCATTCAAATCAGGCCTTGTTCTTAATTTACCTTATGATAAATACTGTTTTAAATTTGAACTTATAAAATAAAGTTTTACTTAGAAACACTCCTTTTATCTCTTTATACGTGGAAATTACTTCAGACTTCATTTGAAAAAGTAGTTCTGCTGTTAAAATTTCTTTTCAAAGCTGTTATTAAAGGATTGGATTAGATGGATTAGGTGGATGTTTAATCATATTAATTAGCTGTAATTAATCAAAGGGCTTTTTCTTCCAGCCCTTTGATTAATTACACATATACACATACACACACATATATGTATAATTGGATATATATTACAGATATTTGGAAATAGATAAATAGAGAGATCTCCCATAGCCAGTACTGGTAAGACACAGATAAGTGGAATAATATGTTCGTTTGGGTCATACATGAATGATGAATATTTATATCTCATCTGGCCATTATTTCACAAAAATAAATATATTTGTGTCGCAGAATTTTTATTTTGGCCCTCAAGTGATACATATTTATATCTCATCTGACTATGATCGTGTCACACCTCTTCTCAAAACCCTCTGCTGGCTTTCCATCTCTTTTAGAATAAATCCAAAGTCCTTATAATAGTCCCGACCACCCTGCATAATCTGACTCCACCGTCTCCCTCATCTCCTACACTCTCCCCCTTACTCACCCTGCACTCAACTGGCCTCCTTGTCCTGTGTACCACAGACACCCTAAGCATGCCGCAGGGCCTTTGTACATATTGTTTCCTTTACCTCACCTCCTCTTCCCCCAGGTACTTTCCTGTCTAGAGTCCTTAACTTCTTTCACGTTTTTGTTCAGATGTCACTTTATCTGGGAGGTCTCCCCTGATTCTCTCTACCCTTTTACTTTGTTCCTTTTTTCTTATAAATACCTGAAATATACTTTGCATCTGTTTCCCAACTAAAATATTAGGTCCATCAGGGTAGAACCCTTACCTGTTATGTTCTATTAAGTATCTGTCACTTAGTAGAAACTCAGTAGATAGCTATTTGTTGAATAAATGAACAAATGAATATGACTCGGTTGCCTCATGATGAATCACACCAATAGATTGTGGTATCAAATCTAACTACAGCAGAATCTCAAGAATTTGAATTAAAGAGGGAAAGGAATAAAATTGCTGTTTTCAAATATATTGTAAATCCGAATTATTGAGAAGTGTTTTAAATATGGCAATCTGTACATCTTGTATACTTTTTTAAATAACTTTGTCCTGTTGGACCTCAAAATACTTCCTCTAAAACTTTTAAGACCAGGGCTACAGTGTTATTTTTCCTCCTCACTCACTCACCTGCCTACTGAGAAGAGCTATGAGGAAGTCAGGTATCTTTATCATAAATTTTTGCTTAGTTAAATTTGCATGTTGAAAGTTCGTTGTATTTTTATTTCAGTTAAGATGTGATTTTTGGGTCATTGCTTCTCTCCTGTCTCCTTGTAGGCGTGGCTGTGCTGGAAGGTCCTATGTATGCAGTAGGAGGGCATGATGGCTGGAGCTATCTGAACACAGTGGAGAGATGGGACCCTCAGGCTCGCCAGTGGAATTTTGTTGCCACTATGTCCACTCCCAGGAGCACAGTAGGTGTGGCAGTGCTAAGTGGAAAGTAAGGAAATATTTAAAGTTCCAGTTAAAACACAGTAAAAATTTATCAAGCTACATTACTGTCCAACTTAAAGATATATAGAAATAAATCATGAGAGAAGTACTTTCAGAGTGATGTAAACAAACTTTAAGGTAGTCTCTTTTTATACTAGTTCTAAATATAAATAGCTCAACATTAAGTTAGTCTTTCATTCTAATGTGTAGATATTATAAATTTCTAATTATCATTTTGAGTGGCAAAATTTTATAAAAATATTCAATGTAGTCAAAATCCAGTGGTTTATGTAGCTTTAAAAGTATATGGTCTTTTTTATTTTGTTTTTGAAAAGCAATTAAAATCTTTATTATAGTCTCTCTAAGATGCTTAGGAGTCATTACATGTATAATGTACAGCAGAACTTCAAATGATCCCTCACCCCACCTTTGTCTCAGTGTTTCATATGTCATGAAGAGCTCTCCTCTTCACCCCTACTCCCAAAATCCCCCAGATAGTTCTCAAAACTAGTCTTTGTTGAATCTAAAAGTTCACGGTCTTTTAGAAGTTGTGTACTCTCTCTCAGTGTTTCCCTGAATAATTCCTTCCTTCTCTTCTACTGATTTATTCTTGCTTTTACTTCCTTTTTATCTCAATAAACTGCTGAAAACTGGAATGGACTTAGGAAGAAGTGCTTTTTTGCCTTTTGCCTGCTGTAAATAAACAGATTTGGGTAGAGCCACCACCAATAGTTCTTGGTAACTCAGAGGCTGACTGCATAGTTTCTTTTGCAGGACTTTCTTCCATAAAAATAAAGCCCTTCATGGTTATTAAATAAAAGTTGTTTGTTGCATAGCTTTACTCACTTAAAATACTTTATCATCATTTCCAGAAAGAGGAAAGAATCAAGGTTAAAATACAGGTTTAAAATTATTTGTAAGATTGTTATTGATTATTAAAAGAAAAATGAGAAAATATTGGTGATATTTTTATATTTTATGACCTAAGATCTTGTTTCCTCAGGGCCCAATATTTTTGTTATTTTTTAGCACTCTTACAAGTGATGATAGAGAAATAGAAACCCATTTTTTAAATGCATCTGATCTCAGTACCCCTCCTCTCATTTGTTTTAGCTAAAGAAATAACTTCAAAATCCATCACTACATCTCTTTCCTAATTCCTGGTAGAAGAGTCAGCCACCAAAGAATATAGATATTGAAAAAAATGACTGTGTCTGGCTAGAAATATTTATTTCTAATAGAGGACAAAAGAGTAAGTGCATTCTCTAAAACCTGACTTCCAGACCTATAGTACCCTGGACTTCTGGGCATAGAAGTATCTTACTTTCTTATCTTTTCTTGCACTCTAATGAGAATTCAGTATTTCGGTCTTTAACCTACCTGAAGCACAATGTATTTAGTATAATTCCGAGACAACCTAATAATCATATCAGAAGCTAAGAATATCTTATCTACTAAACAGTAAGTTGATTTTGAGAGTACAGTCTGTCCTACATTGTGATTGTAACTGGTCTATTGGGCTATCTCTCAAACTGGTCACTTTGCCCCTAACCTGAACTCTCTCCCTTTCATTCTTCATTTTAGAGACTCACCTAGTGTTCTGCCTAAAACACAAAGAGGACCATGTCACTTCCCTGCTTAAAAGCTTTCAGTAGCTTATCTGATGAAGCCTCCTTCACAATCTTGCCTCTGTCTCCCTCTCTAGCCTCTGCTCTCTCCTCTTCCCGTGCCTAATACACCTCAGCAGAACTAATCTATTTGTGAAAAATACACTGTTTCACACTCCTGTTGTCTTTTAACCCATACCATCTGTCTTAGAATGTTGTTCCCCCACTTTCCTACCTGGCAAATTCAGTATCCTTGAAACTTGCTCAAAAATCACCTCCAGAAAACCTTCTCCAGTCTCCACTTTTGTCTTTTCATTCCTGCTACACTCATTGTCCATTCCATCCTCACCAATTTTACTGTAGATAATTTGTGTATAATTGTACTGCAGCATGTACCACTCCATTATTGCAGTCTTTGACTAGTCCATCTTCTATAGCAGATCATGGTCTTGCATGACCTGGTCTGACTTTTTATTCCTGATACCTAGCACACTACCCAGCACTAAATCTGAAGTGTGCAACCTGGCTGAAGAATATTGTGGTGCCAGTCAGATGCAGTGGTGCTTTAATCACTCCAAGGAGAGGATATGTTAATCCATCAACCAGCGTTTTCCTAAGCTTGCTCTAAAATAAAGTAACAATATTTTAAAATATTTTGTTAGTTTCCATTTTGGGGTACATATCCAGAATCTGGAAAAAATAGAAGTTGTTAATTTTTTTAAAAAGGCAGTTGATTGAAAAAATTAATTTTGTATCTTCTCTCTACCAGTCCTTTGTGATTTAGAATAAATCATTTCACTGTGCCTCAATTTTTTTAATCTGTAAAATGAAAAGCCTGGATTAACTGCTGTTTTTGTTATTTTAAATTACTTTACAGTGCTTCCTGATGAAAAACAGTTGTTTCTTTAGGGAAGAACTGTTTTGATGTTTTATAAGTTTGATCTTAAAAATTTCAAAGTGTTAAGTTTCATTCCTACCATGTTTGACAGAAAGAAGCTTTACTTAGATTTCCAACTGCTCAGGCTTCGTTAAGCCACTGGCTTGCAAGTACTTTGGCAACAGAATCTCTCTTTCAAGTGAAATCTTGTAAAAACCTCAATACTTGGGGCAAATGGAAGTTCAAGTTTATTAAAAGCTTATTTTAAATTTATTACATGTTTGAGTTATAATGTTTACTTATAAAAATCAGTGTAGAAGAATAATCTGTTTTAAAAAACAAAGATTACTTCTATATCTTGTTTTGGTTTTGTTGTCTAGTATGAAGAAAATCCTGATTGACAGTTCTAAGAAGCTAAAAATGGAAATAGTTATTTTAACTACTAGAGCGATTTAATTGGAATCTCAGGAAATTCTTCAGTTAAATTGCTCAAGTGGTTTGAAAGTAGTAGAAATTTTTTTTTCTAAGGTGAATCTCTACCAACCACTTCTATTCTTGATCATAATTTTTGAAGTCAGGCAAAACCTAAATCTTATTTTAAGATATATAGTATGATACTATCTCAATTTGACAAAATCTCTCTCTTTTTATTGTAGTGGTTACTGTCTTGGGGAAGAAAGTTGAGTTCTGAATCTTGCATGGCATTTAATTGAGCTAGGTGATATTTTTGAAAATGAAAACTACTTTTTAAACTTGAATTTCAAATGAACCATTTTGGGGACTTTCTCAAGTTCTCCACAGAGTCCTAGTCTTCGAATACAGTTTGAGAACCATTGCATGAGATAATGATTCATCAGGAAGTATTACCAATAATACATTTTAGCCCTCAACATTAGCTCAGTATGAACACTGTTTGTACATTTAGCATCTCCTAAAATGCCATTTTCTAAAAGAGGGCCAGTGGAGACAGATTTATTTTTCCCCTTAAACACTTATACCATGTTTACCATGCCTCAGGCAATGTTCAAAATACTTTAAATTTGATCATCAATAATCGTGTGAGGCAGGGCTTATAGATTTTATGGATGATGTAATTCAGGCAGATGGAGATTAAATAAATTTTCCACAGTCACAGCTAGTAAGTGATAAGCAGTAGAACCAGGATTCAAACCCAGAGAGCTGGGCTCTGAGTTCGTGCTCTTAATCACTGTACTACACCACTTTTCACAAGGAAGAGTTCGCTGTCAAGAAGGTAGGATGCCTTGAAGCCTATTATAGTATGTGTGTGTGTACATGTATTTTTAGTTGTTGACATCTTCTGGTTATTGATACCTTCTAATATTCTGTGATACATATTTAAATAATTATTCTGCTAAGTATTAAAGATGAGGACAGCTTAATGTTAAGAACAGTAGCACAAAAAGTAGTTTTAACAAATAAAATTTTTAACAGATTAAAGTTTCAAATAAATTTCAAATTGCATACTGTTAATACAGTATAAATTTAGAACAAGATACTGCTACAACCATATTTTGCTGTTTAAGATATGGTCATCTTAAAAACCAGTTGAGGGGCATAGGTACTTCATGAATTAAAATTATGAAATCTTGTCTTTTAAATAATGTATATTTAATTATAAATAGAGTTTTAATGGGCAGAAATTTGACATAGTTGAAGTATTATTTCCTGAGAATAAAAAATAACTAAACATTAACAAAGGCATCCATAAATTCAAAATGTATTTTTTTGTACAAACAGTGAACTGAATTTATTATTCTTTCTTAAAAACTGATAGAAAAAATATCTACAAAGAGCTTCTCAAGTGAGCAGCAAATATAAGATTTTTATGCTTAATAAAAAATATTCAGATGTTCAAATATTTTAAATATTTTATGTATATTTTAAGCTCAGAATAAAAAGACTTTTAAATTAGTGCAGTATGTTGATTGAGAGTGAATTAAAATTGATTTACAAAAATTGACTTACATATTTATTTTAGATAATATAGTGTGTTAATGTCCTAAACATTGCCTAGGAGATCAATACATTTCAGTCTATAGTTTTATTCTAATATTTTACTGTTACAAGTATATCCCAGAGGACAGTTGACTGTACAACTGTACATTAATATAACTCTTAGCCTTCTTCTGCTTCTTACTGTGTGACCATGTGCAAGCCTCTTAATCTCCATGAGCCCCAGTTTCTTCACCGGTGAAACAGGGATATAAATGGTTTGTCATAGCGTCATTGTAATGATTAAATTAATGCATGTAAAGTGCCTCGCCTGTGGTAAGTGCTCAAAGAAGGTTAGTTTCTTTCCTTTATCGCCAAGTCCTATCTTAGCTATTTAAGAAATGCCATGGTATATTTATACACCATATTTTATCTATTCTAAGACTCATTTTAACATCTCTAAAATTGCGATGCATTTTACAGTCAATGGTAGCATGTGAAGCAGATGGCAGCTGTGAAAAAGTTGTCCTTGCTTTCATGTGAGTTTGTTATCTTTTTTATGTCTGTACAGAATAATATATGATATATACACATGCTGCTTAATTGGTGACATGCCTTCTTTCTTAATGTCACATAAATTGACAGTGTATCTTCTAACTGACGTCATCTTAAATCCAGTTAAATACCATAATAACCTCTGTCTTAAGCATAACAATAGCACTGTCTCCTAGTTATCATGCTGTTTGTTCTTTTTTACAGACTTTATGCAGTTGGTGGTCGTGATGGAAGTTCTTGCCTCAAGTCAGTAGAATGTTTTGATCCTCATACTAATAAGTGGACACTCTGTGCACAAATGTCAAAAAGGCGAGGAGGAGTAGGAGTCACGACCTGGAATGGACTGCTGTATGCTATCGGAGGCCATGATGCTCCCACGTCCAACTTGACTTCCAGACTCTCAGACTGCGTGGAGAGGTAAATTCCTGTGAAGGAAAACTAGGAATAAAAAGACAAATATAAGCCTCTGCCATTTCCACACTAACTGGTATTCTTTGTTGAGCAGCCACCATGGGAAGGTGGTTCCTGAGGAGCTTTGTAAACATCGTGCTTTCTGTCTGCTCAGGCCGTCTCTCGGTCTGTCTCCAGCAGCCCGTTCAGAGTCTTCTCTCAAACTTTAGAATTGCTTATAGAATTTATTAATCGAATCATATGACAAACACTTATTGTGTACCTATTTTGTACTGGACATTGTACCTAATAAGGAAAGGAGTTTGATGAATTTCACAGCAAATGAATTAGGAGCTAGAGGCCAAATAAGAAGTGAAAAGGAGAAGGACACTTCTGACATATTTTTATATAAAGTGAGGTAACATGAAATAACAAAATGAAGGGCTAATAAGGCTTAAAAAGTTGAACAAGTCATCCTTGTTCAAAACTCAAATATAGGGCCAGGTAAAGAGCCTGATGTCACTGGAAGCTCTGGACAGTGGTTCAGGCTCCCATCTGCTGTGTTTAATGGAATGGAGAGAGCTGAAGGGATTTAAGAGGTAGAGTCAATAGGAGCATGTGTGAACACTCCAGAGGAAAAGGAATGCTTCATTCAGTCAAGTGGAGGGCGGCCACTGTCACTAGAGAACAGAGTGATGGAGAGAGTGGCAGGAAAGGAGTGAGGGGAGGTAGGGGCAGACCATGTAGAGTCTTTCAGCCTTACTAAGGATTTTGGACTTTAAAGAGCAGTGGGAAGTTAATGAATGTGTGTGTTGTATTATTTAATAAATTATAAATGACCAGAGGAAGAACAAGAAGTGAAATGAAGGTTTGTTGATGATAACAGGTACTTTCTATGAAATGATAAGTAGAGTTGGTTGGTGGTTTTTGAAAAAGCGGGGAAGTTACACCTGCATTTCAACTGTGTTCAGGAGAAAATAATTCAGACTATGCTTGTTACCTGTTATAATCCAGGAAAAAATACCTTGTGCCATAAAATGCAGGCTGCACCCAGTGAAAAGTTGTTCACTGATACAAGAAGTATTGGAAGCAATATAGACCATCTTAGCATGATGTTTCTGCTCTTAGACAGACAATTCTGGGCAGTTCTACTTAACATACTTCATGAAATGAATAGGAAACTCCAAAAATGGAGAGTTACGATGTTTGAGACTGTAAGTCATCTTACCTGGAGCTTCATATAATGGTTTCCTCAAATTTTTGGTAGGCAACCTAAAACCTTAAAGCAGTTGTAAACATTTACATTAGCTCTTTTTACTAGTTTAAGTGTTATGCATCTGCAAAATTATAAGTTAAAAGTTTTCAGGAGAATATTGATATTTTTCTCTAAAACTATGTTCAAATGTACTTTCTATAGCAGATAGTAAGACATAAGATAGGATTAAAGGACAAAACTATTTTTATGTCAAACATTGTGGGAACAATGTCAGTTCCAGTTCTAAAATTTTCTTTCAGATATGATCCCAAAACAGATATGTGGACTGCAGTGGCATCTATGAGCATCAGCAGAGATGCTGTGGGGGTGTGTTTACTTGGTGATAAGTTATATGCTGTCGGAGGGTATGATGGACAGACTTACCTTAATACAGTGGAAGCTTATGATCCCCAGACAAATGAGTGGACCCAGGTATGGCCTTTCATTTTTCCATCATGACACTTACTCTGTTTTGTTAAAACAATTCTGTTGGTAAAACAGATCTCTCAATTATATCCAATACCAAAATTTATAGCAGAAATATAGTAAAATCATCTCTTAATTAAATATAAGAAAACAGAGGGAATGTTTAATTTTATAGTATAGTTAAAATCCAAAACTACCTCTAAAGTCTAAGTTAATACTCAGAGAAATTATTATTTGTTTGTTTTTCTTTTTTTTTTTCTTTTTATTGAGGTATAGTCAGTTACAGTGTGTCAGTTTCTGGTGTACAGCATCATGCCCCAGTCATGCGCGCGTGCACACACACACACACACATTCACTTTCATATTCTTTTTCATTAAAGGTTATTAAAAGATATTGAATGTATTCCCTATGCTATACAGAAGAAATGTGGTTTTTATCTATTTTAATATATAGTGGTTAACTTTTGCAAATCTTAAACTCCCAGATTTGTCCCTTTGCACCCTCTTTTCCCCAGTAACCATAAAATTGTTTACTATGTCTGCAAATCTGTTTCTGCTTTGTAAATGAGTTCATTACTGTCCTCTTTTTTCTTTTTACTTTTTTTTTTAAGATTCCACATATGAGTGATATATGGTATTTTTCTTTCTTTCTGGCTTACTTCACTTAGAATGATGATTATTATCATTATTATTATTAGCTGCCACCATTTGCTTGCTGAGAATTGATGAGATGTTCTAGCACTGATAGAGCTGATAGGACCACAAGAAGGCTGTATAACTAAGGGAGGGGAGATTGTGGAAAATAAGAAACAAAGATGGTAGTCACAAAAAAATGAATAATAATTTTTACATACTCATACCACTGATATATGGGAGCAGATCAAATGTCTGGTCATAACCTAATTAAAGATGGGAATCCTAAAATTACATTAACAGGTGAGAAACTTGATCAGCAGGCTTATTAACAGGAAGAATTCTGTCTATGTCTGGGCAATGCCTAGCACTTCTAAGAAAGATCTTTTGAGATCTTTGTTTCCATCATCATCAAGAACAGAACCATGAATCTTGTACCTCTGGCACCCAGTTTAGTATCTGATATACAGAAGACACGGAAATGTTTAATTGAGCCAAGATTTTCCTATATACAAGGAGCAACAGTAACTGCTGTCAAGAAAACAAAACTTAGGAGAATTCCTGCTGTCATAGAACTTAACTGCTTAGGTGAGAGCTGCACGTTTAAGGGGAGGATCCACCCTGTGCAGCAGCTGGTATGAAGTGCCCTGTGGTACAGGCAGTGAGCGCATAGGAAATCAAAGAGAAGAAAGAAAACGGGTGTTGAGAAGGTTTCATTGAGAAGAAGTGGGATTTAATTTAAGCCTTAATGAGTCAATCCAATTCAAAAAAGTAAAAGGAAAGGGGAAGTTTGTATGAGAAAACATGAAAAAAATGTGACTAAAACAGAAATATGCAGGCTATATTAAGGAAGTATGGCTGGTTATAAGGCTCCGTGCTTGAGAAGAGTTGGAGTTCTTATTGGAGAGGAAGGCTGGGTTCAGGATGGAGGTCTGTGATGGTCAATCTTAAGAGGTTGGTAATAAGAAACCAGTGGAGACTTTTAACCAAGAGAGAGATGCAGTAATAGAAAGTCCATGTGTCAGCCGCTGGGGACAGAGTAAGTTGGATTAGGAGCAAGGGAAATGAAGGTTGGGTGAAAGGAAAACATTTAGAAGGTTGCTTCTGTTGTAAGGCTTGAGGTGTTAAATATATAGATGGATTCAAGAGATGGTACCAAGTCCTGTCTGTTCTTTCTTTATATGCTTTCTGGCTTGTGTAGAGATGCAGCTTCTGATGAAAACAGCAAAGGAAAGATCAGATAGCATCTTAGTAGATAATGAAATAGAGCATTTAAAGAGAGGAGAGAGGGTTTCAACAGTGTAAGAAAGAATGAAGAAAATTTGTCATTCATGAAGTTGTCAGGACCTTTGAGATTGTGATAGTAGCAGAAGCCACCACCCAGTGTAAAAAGTAAAGAGAAGAATAAAAGTAAATGTGGGAGCTAGAGGGGCGTACAATTTTTAAATGATGATAGAAAGTTAACACTTACTGAGTGCCTTTTATGTACCCGGCTCTATTCCAAGCACTTGTCATTAAAGAACTTATTAAATCTTCTCAACAACCCTATAAGGTAAATACTATTACTTCCCCATGATATTGCATGAGGGGTCTGAGACAGAGAGATTAAATAGCTGACCCAATATCGCACAGTAGATAAATGGGAGAGTTAGGATTTGAGTCTAGGATCTTTTTCACAATAGAGATGAAGACAAGAGAGTTGAAAGAAATTCAAGACTAGAAGGAGAAAGCAAAATTGAAGGGCACTTTCCTGAATGTAGGACGGAAACAGAATTGAGGGCAAAGGCTGGTACTCCTCAGACTGGAGGAAACAATCTTACCTTCCAAGACCGGAGAGAAAGATGAGAAATGAGTATAAAGGATATAAAGTGTTTTAAAATGAAGAGAAGGATAGAAAAAGAGACTTAGATTGTATGACTGTGATCTTGTTTCTTTCTTAAGTGAGCTCACATGGTGAAGGGTTGAGAAAGCATAATTTGAGGGCTTCAACTCTGGAATTTCATTAGAAATCATGTGGCCACCTACCGTCAGTCTCCCACCATGGCAGAAGTAGTTGTGAATGACAACAAAGGAACCCCAAAAGAGACAGAGGAATCTTTTTCTGAGATGTATTTGATTTAAGCCACAAGGAAGTCGATTGGCCAGTATTTCAGATTTGGTATTACAGATAATTAATACTTTATGCTGAATCACTCTGTATCAGAATTAATAATATGTGACCACATAGCTCTTTGGTCTGCAAGCCATCTCTATTACTATTTTAAAGCACCTAAATGTGAACTTAAAACCATAGTATCTGAAAAGTAAATGTTTTCCATTTAATGTTCCAACAAATGGACAAGAGGACATTTGTACAGGGAATGAAATGGGATGACCAAGTCTTAAGCCACCACCCACTCCACTACCAGCCTTGATCCACATCAGGAAGTGATTGCATTATATTTAATGAATTCTCTAAACTATACTTTCTAGCTGGTTTTCATAACAACAGCAACTATTCACAATGTGGAGACTTTAGTGTCTTGGGTGTTTTGAGGAAAGCTGTTAATTACAAGCAGACATTTTGATTTAATTGACATAGGAATTACTTCTAGAATACTGTAAGTATATATGGTTTTAAAATAGGCTATTTGTTCAAGGAGATATAACAGTGATCAAAACCAAAACAATTGATTCAAATGGAGAACAACTAAGAATCCTCTTACAGTTGAAGTTGGATGTGTTCTTAAAATCTACTCATTGGTCTGGGGTGCAGGTGTCAAAATGATTAAGAAATCTTTGTTTTTTTAATAACATCTTTTTAAGCACTATTCTCATGTATTTTTATTTTATTTTATTAAGAGGGAGATAATTAGGTTTATTTAATTACTTTTTTAGTGTAGGTCCTGGGGACTGACGGGTTGAACCCAGGACCTGGTTGCATGCTAAGCACACACTCTACCACTTGAGCTGTACCCTCCCCCAAGAAATCATTTTAATATCACGTATTTGACAAAAACACTGTATGACATACCTCCATATATATAAGTACAAAACAAACTTTCTCAATACATTATATTAGTCATCTGTTCTCAAATGCTAATTTGGTGAGGGTGATTAGGTTTATTTTCATTTATTTATTTGTTCATTTTTTAACGGAGGTACTGGTGATTGAACCCAACATCTTGAGCATGCTAAGCATATGCTTTACCACTGAGCTATACCCTCCCCCCACAAATGCTAATGTTTTAATTCTCTTAGGTCAGATACATAGTTTGCTGTGCATTCTTACTGTGTTCACAGTAGCCCTTTAAAAACTATCCTTGCCCACACTTAGTTTCACTATGAATTTCCTTGTGTCTAGAGTACTCAAAAGACAAAGATTTAAGGATTTTCCTCATCCATAAGTGATGATTATGTTCTGTCCCCTTTCGCTTGCACTTCTCACTGTCATAGAGTCTAGTCACTAGGTTTGTTTCCACTCCTAGGGAGTTGGATGGGTGGTATTTATTATTCATTCCCTCCGCTAAAAAGGAGTAGAGTGGGTTTACACTTTCCAGCCATGCGGAGAAGGTCAGCAATAAATCCAAACTTAGCGGTTCCTCCAGAGGAAGCAGATCGTGGGCATACGGTGTATTTGTGTGCTCTCTCTGCGACAGCACTTCTGTTACCCGGCCTCTCTGGGTAGTACCTGGTATTTTCAACATGGTAGTCACAAAGTTACTTTAGGTATTTAGCATTCCCTCACATCCATATTGTGCATCATTTTGGCCAAAATAGGGTTTCACGTAGAACAATTTGAGAGCTATTAAGAAAAAAGATCACCCTTAAAGAGAAGTGAATACTAGATAATTATGTTCTATACCCAAACCAGTTTAGTTGGTGAAGCTTTGGCATCAGGAGGGAGGTCCTGTTCAGAAGGAACAGGGCCAGCGGTGGGGCTAGGGCAGCAGGGTGGGGGCAGCAGCTCTTTTGCCTATAAGTACAGACCGTTTCAGTGTTTCACCGACTAGTGTGGTATTATCAGCGTTCTTACCTACAAACCCAACACCTATGTTTTTTTTGTTTGTTTTTTTTAGGTTGCTCCACTGTGCCTAGGAAGAGCTGGGGCTTGCGTTGTGACTGTAAAATTATAACTTAGTGCTTTGTTTTCTAAATGAAGATATCATCTTCCTTTATGAATTTAGTATAATTATTCTACTATCAATGGGTATGTTTTTAGTAAATTAGCAAGGCCGCATTCCTGGGCACAAAGTGCCTGATCTCTAAGTGAAGATGTTAAAACAAAGGAGGAAAGAGCGGACAAACCAGGATTAAATATTTTCATTTCTTAGTAAATCAAAACTGCAGCTGGTGGCTTGTGAACATATGTTCCTGATACAAAATATGAGGACAAATGCACTGCTTCTGAACACAACCCAGCGCTAACTGGGAGTTTCGTTTCTTAATAATCAAGCACATTTTACTCACATTATCTAGGCTGCTTTTATTACAGTGCGAATACATTGGATTAAAACTTGTAACGTTTTACTTCGTAACTTTATCATACATGAGTTACAGTAATTTTTATTTGTTTGTTTAACCACAACCACTGTTTTAAGGACATACTGAAGACTATGCATTTAGTTTTTCTCAGAAATAGCTGCCATATATGTGCTTTGGTTGAGGATTTTATTTCTAGAATTGGCTTAGTCCAATGAATAAAGAAAAACCTTAAAGAGTTAAAACAACAATGACCAAATAAAAACTGGATAGGATCTTTGGGATCTATTTAAAGATTCATTCCATCTAGATTCAACAAGAACTCCATGTTATGATATTCTTAAATTGGAATTGAAACATGGTGTTTTGCATTAAATTTAAGATAGGCAATTTTATGTGGAGAAAATACATGTTCTATGCCCTCTAATGTTCTTTCACCTAATTAGTATTTAATTATGTGGATTTGCTTTCTTTTATATTATTAAAAATGTTCTGATTTTGTCTTTTGATATTGACAGAATTGTATGGCTGTTCCTCTTTTCTCAAGTCTGTGTTTGCGCCCCTGCCTTGTTTCTTACCTTTTGCCACAGTTAGTAATCCTTTGTGCTTCTTTGTAATCAAACAGTTTGGGGGGAATGGGTTTACTGAATGTTTGAAAAATAAGTTTAAAGTGTTTATTACCCAAAGTTTTGTACATTTGTAAGCTCTTAATTACACATGTGAATGTTAATACTCTCAGTGAATTATTTATTGTTTGCAAAAATGCACTGGGCAGTAACATTTTATGATAAATCTTTTAAGGTATAAGTCATTAACTTATATCTTAATATAAAGTGAGTACAAACTAAATTCCCATCTTTTAAATACTATATTGTGGTTAATGTGTTTTTTATTTTATATCAAGGTAACCTTTCTTTTTGTTGCTTCTTTTAAGAATTAAAACAAACTTTTTTTTTTAGCTGATTTTGAATGCTCATGAAATATTTCTACCTTTGAAATCAAGAAATTTAGTACTTCTAGTCCCAAAACAAATTCCATGGGCATTTTACTGATGTGGCCACTAAGAAAATAATAGTGATAGTGACAAATATGTTAATATTTCATATATTCATTATACTGTGGATATAAAGTCAGTTATTTTCCTGATAAAGAGGGATCAGCTGTAGAATATATTTACAAATTTAGGGTAAGGGAGAGAAGAGGAAAAGGTATAAGAAACAAACAAGAATTCCCAAAGCAGAAACATACCAGTACATCCCTTCTTGACTTAGAGACTTAGACCTGTGACTTGAAAAGAAAATGCTTCTACTTGTGATCATTTCTCATCTCCACTCACTTGTTCCCTGCGCCCTCAGTGGAGGCAGACTCACCTCAGCATAAAGGAACTGATTCTCTTCTCTGAGGATCTTCCTTTCCTTTACGGGATTCATTAGAACAGTCCCTTTGATTTTCTACCCCATTTGAGGGCCCCTCTAATGCAGTTTTGTAGTCAGTAGGATGTGCTCTCCTGGATACTAGTGAAGACAGCATTTCTTCTCTAGTGACAGAGCATTTGCCAAAACATTTATTCCACTCCTAGTCTGGGATCTTATAAATCTAGAGGAAAATACTGCTCTTTCTTATAGGCATCATCCAGCATTGCTGCCTTGACTTTTGCTGTTAACTTCTCCATTGACATGTCTGGCTGCTCTTTATTTTAACCCCAGTTAATGACCACCACATGAAAAATAATATTTGCTAGTAATTATTGAATGATTATTATGAACTAGCAACCAAGGTTTTTGCATGCATTAATGCACTTAAACTTCATAACAACTTTATGAGGTAAGTTCTATTATTATTCCCCCTTTATACAGATAAGGAAACTGGGGCAAAGAGAATTAACACCCAGATTTATATATAAGAAGATTTATATATTTATATAAGATTTATATATAAGAACTAAGTGGCAGAGCAGGGATTTGAATGCAGACAGTCTGGCTCAGGAGTCCTTTATCACTCCTGCTTCTAGGTAGAAAAGAAGTTTTATTTTATGTGAGAAATTATTTGTTTTAATAAAAAGAAAAGTAAAGGAGGTTTATGCCTTTTAGAAGTAAATTTATCTGTCACACTCTTATCAGAAATTTTTGGTTCCTTAGTATCAGGGGGAATTTTGTCTAAATCTCTTATAGAATTTTATATACATTTTGCTTTAGAGAAGTAAATGCAAGAAAACATATTTCAAGTTTTATATTAAATATTAGATAAATTGCATGGTATTTTGGATGAATGAACCATAAACAAATTCATTCATCAAAAATACGCTTTACTGCCACAAAGCAGATAACCTAGATGAAATGGACAAATTTCTAGAAACACAAAATTACCAAGAAGAAAAAAATCTAAACAGACCTATAGTAAGTAAGAGATTGAATCAATAATCCAAAAACCTCTCAACAAACTACAGAACCAGAATTTGGGTTGACAAAGACAGACTGTATACTATGACAGACCAAGATTTGCTGCAGGAATACAGGGATAGTTCAACATACAAAAATCAATCAGTGTGATATACCATGTAGTAGAATGTGGGGAGCTCAGCCTGAAGAAACCAGAACAGTGCCATGAAAATAAAGCTCTTTGTTATTAAAAAAAAAAAAAAACCAGAATGAAGGGGAAAAGAAACAGAATGATCATCTCAATTGATAAGAAAAAGCATGTGACAAAAATCAACACCTTTTCATGGTAAAAGCAAACTAGAAGGAGAATGGAATGTCCTCATCCTGTTAAAAGGTGTTCATGAAAAACCCACAGGTAACAACATACTAAATGGTGAAAGATTGAAAGGTTTCTCTGAAAGCTCAGGAAAATGCCCACTCCGCTAGTCAACATTGTACCAGAAGTTCTAGGCAGAGCAATTAGGCAAGAAAAAATAAAATAACAGGAATCTCAATTAGAAAAGGAGAAGTAAGATTCTCTCCATTAGCAGCTGACATGATCTGACATATTAAAAATCCTAATGTTTTCAAGGTTCATCCATGTTGTAGCAGGTATCAGTACTTCATTTATTTTTATGGCTGAAAAATGTTCCACTATATATATGTACATCACAATTTGTTTATCCATTTGTCAACTCATGGATATTTGGGTTATTTCCACTTTTGACTACTGCGAATAATGCTATTATGAATATTTGTGTGGAAGTTTTTGTTTGAACACCTGTTTTCGGCTTTTTCTTTTTTCTTTTTTTTTTTTGGTATGTACCCTGGGTGAAATTGCTGGCTTATAGGGTAATTCTATGTTTAGAATGATGCCATTTATATGAAATACCCAAAATAGTCAAATTCATAGAGACAACCAGGGTCTGCGAGGAAGAGGGAATAGGGGATGAACACGGGTTTTCCTTCTGGGGTGATGAAACTGTTCTAGAACTAATTAATGGTGTGGTTACACAACTTGACGAAAGTACTAAATGTCACTTATGGTCAATTGAGTGCATATTTTACAACAATAAAAAGCTTTACTAGGTACATTACAAATTGTTATTTAAATGTCATAGCAATATATATACTAGGAGTAAAACTCTGCATTTATATACATTCCAAGGAGAATTTTTAAAAGTGTAATTTGCAAGTAAACAGATGTTTTAAAAATCCGACAGAAAGGCTCTTTAGATTTTAATTCTGGTCTAAGAAGAGAGTGAGAAACAATGACAAACCTAAGGGGAAAGTTTGATTGGCAGCTCTTCCCCAATGCCTGGTACACAACTGGCATTCCATAAATGTTTGTTGAAAGTCAAGATCGGTATCTTTTCATAAACTCTGTATAATTTTTGAAATTGTTGGTAATATCTTAATTCTTACTCAGGAACGAACATTCAGTAAAATGACATGTAGTTTTACTATGAACTAGATTATAAATTCCCATGGAATATTTTCATTCTATTTTACTTTTTCAATTGGAGTAAAACAAAAATCAAATGCCATGAGAAGTTAAAGCCTAACTTTGGCATTTCCTCCTTCTGGATCTCAGATACCTTTATCTTTATAAGACTGCACCGTCTGATGGGAGACTCCCCCATCAGAGACTCTGTCCTTACGACTAATGACTGAGAAAGTATGATGTTTATTTTTTATCTTCTCCTGGGCCTCAGCGACTCTGGTATCTCGTGAATCGCTTAAAGATGTGCAGTATTGATTGATGTAGGTGTCAGCATCATGCCCAGCCTATTTTCCCCCAGCCCTGGGTAATTATTTCCTTTGGGCTAATGAGGTGCATCTAGAGAGGGAAGCCAGGGAAGCTTGGGAACCACATTCAGTGCCCTAGGTCTCTGCCCAGGCTGGTTGGTTTCATTTGATGAGATTTCTTTTGGATTAAAAAAATTATATTTAATTGATGTATTTTAAAGTAGCTTTATATGAGTGAGTGACTACTACTTGTATAATGTCTGTGCCTTTAAAATAACTAAGGTAAGCTGGGAAGGCTCACAGTGACTCAGTGACCATTTGGTTCTGCTCTAAGTGGTAGCATGCTCAGGGTATTAAAGTTACCATGAGTATACTATGTTTCAAAACTATTAACTGTTTATTTTATTTTTTCTGAATAAACTCTCAGAAAATTCTATTGTCACTTCTAAAAAAAAGTAAACACATTCCACTTGAAATTAAAAAACAGAATCAACTAAATTTTAAAAATAGTTTTCCTTAAAGTTATGCATCTTTATAAATCTGAAATACATGGTAAACTGGGCAGTTCAAAAGTGACATTGATGGAGTAAATTCTGTGGAAGGAAAGAAGTCCTTGCTTAGTGGTGGCTGAAGCCATGAGGTTAGAGAGAAGCTGTCATTCAAGAGCTGTCTGTGTCAGGGACAGAAGAGCTGCTGCACTGCATGTGAACTTCAGAGAAAGAAAATGCTGAGAAATAAGTTTAGCAAAACCTGACCTACTTATCTGTCTGATTCTGTATCAGAAACTCAGCAGCAGAGCTACAGAGAAGGACTGAGGGAGTTAGTTAATCCAGTGGAGAATTCATTTATCTCAGAAAACTTTCTGATCAATAAGGCATTGAGCAAATCAGTCGGGAGACTAAACTCTTACACGATAATAGATCATAACACAAAGGAGGAGAAAGAATGTTAGTTTCTTAAGGGCACGTACTGGGGTGTATCACTGTGTCCCCTGCAGCACTTAGCGTGCAGTCTACTGTTATACCTTCGCGTAATAGGCTCTTGCTAATTATTTGTTGAATATAAATATCAAGTAGACTAGGTCCCTGAGGTAAAACACCTCAGAGGTGTTGGAACGTAGGTTTACGGTCAGGCAGATTCTGAATCTCAGAGCAACAACAACAACACATTATGAGATTTCTTTGTTCACATATGGAGGTGGGTGCAGGTAAAATTAGAGGGGTGCAAAGCACAAGCATGGACATGGAAAACCAGAATATGTTCAGGAAGTAAGGAGCAGCCCTGGTGAGCTGACTGCAGCATCAGATACGTGCTGAGGAGTCGAGGGAAATGTCAGCCAATTTATTCTTTTATTCAAATTAAGGATGACAGTTACCCTTCTGTCCGTGCATGACTAAAATAACATGGAGAAGCCCCGGATGATCATAATAACGGCCAGAGGTGCAGTCTGCACACAGGCCACCGTCTACTCCCTCCCCTGCTCTTCCGTCTGACCTTATTTAAACAGCCATATGGACCACTTAAACAGCTAAAGTATGTTAACTAAATGATCTATTTTCTCTTCTCCCAGCAAGATTATGACAGATTTTCAAATGTCACAGGCATTTAACCCAATATTTGGGTGGTAGGAAGTGTTTATAGTAATTTCTCTACATGACATAAAGTCTGCGTAATAAGAAATCGTCATTGTGAAGATGGTACTAGATGATTGCTTAGGTCCCTTTCAGCCCCGGCAGTCAGTAATGCAGGTTGAGTATCATCTGACCCTGTCTTGACATTGGTACCCACCGGATATAACATCTTGGGATTTCCATCCCAGGCGGAATCCAGAATGCTAC